CTGCTGGTTAACTTGCCTGTGATGATACTAACAATGTTAAGATAACCCCGAGCATCCCACCTGGGGAGCTCTGAAGGCTGGCTCCCGCTTTAACATAATACGTAGGTTAGTGAAGGCTTCCCCATCCACCGTGTATGCAAGAGTGGAGGCTGGAGGTAACTGCTACTACCAGCAAGCAGGGATGAGGTGCATGACGCTCCAGGCTTGACTGCTGCAGCATGACCCACAACACTAACACCATCAACATCACTATTGGTAAGTATCCACCATGCAACGTGACGTCACACACCAACACACTAGTCAACATCCACCATCACTCACCTCTGCTCCAACACAGCCTCTGCACCATTGTTATTCTGCATTATCAAGCATTCTAACGGGTCATCACATCAAAGGTGACAAGTGAGGATGCAGAGCCTGTGTTATGTTTAACCTCTGTGGGGTTAGTGATGTGGCTTGTGACGTGTGGAGTGGCTTGTGACACCATGCCAGTGTAACAGCTTCTTGCGTTTATATTCTTGCTTGTTATTGCTTAATGAATGCATGGCGTTCCTAAAGTGAACGCTGCTCTCCAGGGTGTCCTGAGAGATGTCCTCATGGGCATCCTGAGAGATGTCCTCATGGGCACCTTGACAGATGTCCTCACAGGCTTCCTGAGAAGTGTCTCCCCAGGCGTTCTGAGAGGCGCCCATGTGGGCATGCTAAGAGGTGCCCATCTGGGCATGCTAAGAGGTGCCCATCTGGGCATGCTAAGAGGTGCCCATGCAGGTGTGCCAAGCCCCTCAGACCCACATTTATGTTTTTTCAGAAGAATATCACTGTTTTTGTCTGGACAGCTGTGAATGTGTGAGGGTGCATGTAGTGTATAACAGTGCACACTGTGTGGGGGTGCACACTGTGTGTGCGACAGTGCTCACAGTGTGTCTGCCACATGACAGCCACTGTACCATGTTAAATTACTGTCTACCCATCACTGGTTATCACTGACGTCACTACCATGATGAGACGTCAGTGTTGCGTCATTAACATGGTACTGACGCCAGAGTTTGCTGGCGTCATCTGCTGCTGGACGAACCTAGTTTAACGAAACTGATGATCTGCAATCATCTTCAACATAATTCATCACGTGAACATAGTCAGCACTACAAGTTACTTCATATTCTGAGCACTGATGTACAGCTGGTTCATGGTGACACGTACAGTAGTACAGTAGTACTGTGTACACTCCAGTGTCATAATCTATCTCGTTTATAAATCAAGTGAATCATAATCACTGTCATCTTTAATTCATAATTTCTGTTTGTTTATACAGCATATTCACTGAAGACTTAACGTCAGTGTTCACATCACTCCCAGGAACCTAACTTCTGGTGTTTCATTGTTCACATCACTCCCAGGAACCTAACTTCTGGTGTTTCATTGTTCACATCACTCCCAGGAACCTAACTTCTGGTGTTTCATTGTTCACATCACTCCCAGGAACCTAACTTCTGGTGTTTCATTGTTCACATCACTCCCAGGAACCTAACTTCTGGTGTTTCATTGTTCACATCACTCCCAGGAACCTAACTTCTGGTGTTTCATTGTTCACATCACTCCCAGGAACCTAACTTCTGGTGTTTCATTGTTCACATCACTCCCAGGAACCAAACTTCTGGTGTTTCATTGTTCACATCACTCCCAGGAACCTAACTTCCGGTGTTTCATTGTTCACATCACTCCCAGGAACCTAACTTCTGGTGTTTCATTGTTCACATCACTCCCAGGAACCTAACTTCCGGTGTTTCATTGTTCACATCACTCCCAGGAACCTAACTTCTGGTGTTTCATTGTTCACATCACTCCCAGGAACCTAACTTCTGGTGTTTCATTGTTCACATCACTCCCAGGAACCTAACTTCTGGTGTTTCATTGTTCACATCACTCCCAGGAACCTAACTTCTGGTGTTTCATTGTTCACATCACTCCCAGGAACCTAACTTCTGGTGTTTCATTGTTCACATCACTCCCAGGAACCTAACTTCTGGTGTTTCATTGTTCACATCACTCCCAGGAACCTAACTTCTGGTGTTTCATTGTTCACATCACTCCCAGGAACCAAACTTCTGGTGTTTCATTGTTCACATCACTCCCAGGAACCTAACTTCTGGTGTTTCATTGTTCACATCACTCCCAGGAACCTAACTTCTGGTGTTTCATTGTTCACATCACTCCCAGGAACCTAACTTCTGGTGTTTCATTGTTCACATCACTCCCAGGAACCTAACTTCTGGTGTTTCATTGTTCACATCACTCCCAGGAACCTAACTTCCTGGTGTTTTCATTGTTCACATCACTCCCAGGAACCTAACTTCTGGTGTTTCATTGTTCACATCACTCCCAGGAACCAAACTTCTGGTGTTTCATTGTTCACATCACTCCCAGGAACCTAACTTCCGGTGTTTCATTGTTCACATCACTCCCAGGAACCTAACTTCTGGTGTTTCATTGTTCACATCACTCCCAGGAACCTAACTTCCGGTGTTTCATTGTTCACATCACTCCCAGGAACCTAACTTCTGGTGTTTCATTGTTCACATCACTCCCAGGAACCTAACTTCTGGTGTTTCATTGTTCACATCACTCCCAGGAACCTAACTTCTGGTGTTTCATTGTTCACATCACTCCCAGGAACCTAACTTCCGGTGTTTCATTGTTCACATCACTCCCAGGAACCTAACTTCTGGTGTTTCATGTTCACATCACTCCCAGGAACCTAACTTCTGGTGTTTCATTGTTCACATCACTCCCAGGAACCTAACTTCTGGTGTTTCAATGTTCACTCCCAGGAACCTAACTTCTGGTGTTTCAATGTTCACTCCCAGGAACCTAACTTCTGGTGTTTCAATGTTCACTCCCAGGAACCTAACTTCCGGTGTTTCATTGTTCACATCACTCCCAGGAACCTAACTTCCGGTGTTTCATTGTTCACATCACTCCCAGGAACCTAACTTCCGGTGTTTCATTGTTCACATCACTCCCAGGAACCTAACTTTTGGTGTTTCATTGTTCACTCCCAGGAACCTAACTTCTGGTGTTTCATTGTTCACTCCCAGGAACCTAACTTCTGGTGTTTCAGTGTTCACATCACTCCCAGGAACCTAACTTCTGGTGTTTCATTGTTCACATCACTCCCAGGAACCTAACTTCCGGTGTTTCATTGTTCACATCACTCCCAGGAACCTAACTTCTGGTGTTTCATTGTTCACTCCCAGGAACCTAACTTCTGGTGTTTCATTGTTCACATCACTCCCAGGAACCTAACTTCTGGTGTTTCATTGTTTACATCACTCCCAGGAACCTAACTTCTGGTGTTTCAGTGTTCACATCACTCCCAGGAACCTAACTTCTGGTGTTTCAGTGTTCACATCACTCCCAGGAACCTAACTTCTGGTGTTTCAGTGTTCACATCACTCCCAGGAACCTAACTTCTGGTGTTTCATTGTTCACATCACTCCCAGGAACCTAACTTCCGGTGTTTCATTGTTCACATCACTCCCAGGAACCTAACTTCTGGTGTTTCATTGTTCACTCCCAGGAACCTAACTTCTGGTGTTTCATTGTTCACATCACTCCCAGGAACCTAACTTCTGGTGTTTCATTGTTTACATCATCTCCCAGGAACCTAACTTCTGGTGTTTCAGTGTTCACATCACTCCCAGGAACCTAACTTCCGGTGTTTCATTGTTCACATCACTCCCAGGAACCTAACTTCTGGTGTTTCAGTGTTCACATCACTCCCAGGAACCTAACTTCCGGTGTTTCATTGTTCACATCACTCCCAAGAACCTAACTTCTGGTGTTTCAATGTTCACTCCCAGGAACCTAACTTCCGGTGTTTCATTGTTCACATCACTCCCAGGAACCTAACTTCCGGTGTTTCATTGTTCACATCACTCCCAGGAACCTAACTTTTGGTGTTTCATTGTTCACATCACTCCCAGGAACCTAACTTTTGGTGTTTCATTGTTCACTCCCAGGAACCTAACTTCCGGTGTTTCATTGTTCACATCACTCCCAGGAACCTAACTTTTGGTGTTTCATTGTTCACATCACTCCCAGGAACCTAACTTCCGGTGTTTCATTGTTCACATCACTCCCAGGAACCTAACTTTTGGTGTTTCATTGTTCACATCACTCCCAGGAACCTAACTTCCGGTGTTTCATTGTTCACATCACTCCCAGGAACCTAACTTTTGGTGTTTCATTGTTCACTCCCAGGAACCAAACTTCCGGTGTTTCATTGTTCACATCACTCCCAGGAACCTAACTTCTGGTGTTTCATTGTTCACATCACTCCCAGGAACCTAACTTCCGGTGTTTCAATGTTCACATCACTCCCAGGAACCTAACTTCCGGTGTTTCATTGTTCACATCACTCCCAGGAACCTAACTTCTGGTGTTTCATTGTTCACATCAGTCCCAGGAACCTAACCTCATTTGTTCCAATGTTCACATCACTCCCAGGAACCTAACCCCATTCGTTCCAATGTTCACATCACTCCCAGGAACCTAACCCCAGGTGTTCCAATGTTCACATCACTCCCAGGAACCTAACCCCATTTGTTCCAATGTTCACATCACTCCCAGGAACCTAACTCCAGGTGTTTCATTGTTCACATCACTCCCAGGAACCTAACTCCTATCTCTTGATAATTATCATTCGTCTGGCAGCAGAGACATACCTGTTGGCATCGTATGCCAGGCAGCCACGTGATCCCTCTGATGGAGAAAGCTCTTACTAAATACCAGTATATAATACGCCTGTTTGTGTTGATCCCGAGCTTACTTAACTGTCTAACCGATGCCTGCCTCTCTCTCTCTCTTTCTACTGATATAGTTGCTTTTAGAAAACCGCTGCTGCTGCCTCACCTCTCACATCCCTCCTCGACGTTCTTTACCAACATGGTTCATTGTTCTACCCCCTTTCTCTGGGGACTTTGAACCATAGTGGATTGTTACCAGAGGTTGGATGTGTTTTTAATGATATTCACACATTAACTATAAAAACCATCGAATAAACGTAAGTAGTTTGTGTAAGTGCTTAAAATATAAGTAGGTTGTAAGTACGATTCTTGCGTCGCTTTCTGTAAGAGTGTGTCAGTTTTGCCCACGACACACGCTGTTTTGCCCCCACGTATCTGTATTTATGGCGATGTATAAAAGCTTCGGCCACTCCGAGAGTTTTCGCTCGGTGTGCAGCGATAAACCTGATGTATGAGCATGTGTGTGGTCTGCTTGTGACTGTGGTCTGCTTGTGACTGTGGTCTGCTTTCCCCTCCCCAGTGGCTGTACCACAAGCCTCCCCTCAACACTAACCTTGTCCCGTTTTCTCTATTGCGTCAACTTCTCATCCCGTTTTCTCTCCTAATGTCTAACCTCATGTCGTTTTCTTTGTTCTGAAATGACCAACTTCACCTCCCATATATAATTATATATATATATATATATATATATATATATATATATATATATATATATATATATATATATATATATATATATATATATATATATATATATATGGATATTTTTTTACTTAAAACCTTAACGCACACTTAATCAAATATAAATTTAACCTGATAATACATGCTAATTGCACTCAGCTTAACTTTCAGCAGTTGGGTAAATCAGAAGGGTGTCTAGTATGCTGCTGGTTGAGCACAACAGACTCCACTGATAGACTTCACAGACACACTCGGTATACTTAACAGACGCAGAAGACACCCTTGTTAACCATAGATAGTTCACAGACATGCAGCACCAGTCTCCCGTACAGACATAAACGAAGAGTCACAGACATGGCTAGCATAGGAATTACAGACATGTCAGCTATAAGCAACAGATTTTTACAGACGTAACCCTTGCAGACTTACGTTACATTGGCTCAAGTATCAATTATTGATGTCCATAGACTCGGTTATCGCCAGAGACAAACTCAGCTGAGAGACAGAGATAGGTCAGCACCATAGACACAGACTAGATACAGGCCAGAACTGTGAGGTAAGCGTCGAGGCGACCACAACTACTAATATTGAGAGTAAGACAAGTCTACCGTACCTCTGCCAGGTCATGACGACACCATTAACCCGCTAATTGGTAATGTCTGACCACGACTGATGGTGCTAGACCACGACTAATAGCATCAGCTGATGATGCCAGACCATAATTGGTAGCGTTAGACCACAAGTGAGACTGCAGCTGATAGTAGTCAGAGGCTGACTTAGGAACTCCAGAGCACAAGTGAGGCGGTGGCCTGCACCTCACACCTCGGTACTTCCCTCCAAGACACTTGCAGAACACTTGGTGTGTTCTCAAGTTGCACCCGAGCACTGAGTTTCAGTGGTAAGATAACGTTGTTGTAGTGGTAAGATACCCTTGCAGAAGAGCAGCATCCTTCTTGGGTGAGTGCTATGCAGTTCTCTCACCACTGCTTAAACAACAGTGGTTTTATGGCACCTAGAGAACTAGATAATGATTTTCACGCCTGTATCCTCCCAGTAACCAATTTCCAATATTGTTTATCACGTCTTGATTATTAATGGAAAATGAATAATTTTTAATCATCCATTTATTTCAAATAAAAATGAGAAATATTAAATAATTGAATATAATAACTGTAGAGGTCTCAGAGTTTAAAATATAATGTGGAGTGTGTCTCACTGTCTTCAAGTTCAGACGGGGCTATGAAATTCGTGCTATTGCAAAAATAAGCCTATGTGTCTCCGCCGAAATGCAGCTGGCATAGGCTGGCGCCTCTCATGAAGAAAAAGGCCTATAGTGCATGGTGATGAGGGTATGCTGTGTGAGGTGCAGTGCCACAGTATGCTGCTCCCGGGAACTTTATATGCTACTGGCTGGCATACTTACACAACCATTGTCACATTTCTCTTACAGCATTAACCACAACTACCACCAACACCACCACACCTGCTACAGCCACCACACTAACCCAACCAGATGGTGAAGCTTACATCACCACCGCTTCCCCCACGGCGCCGCCCACCACACCACCCGCACACCCACCCACCGCCACGCCACCCAGTCACCCGAAGCCACCCTCAACGCCGGAGATCACCTATACAGAAGAACCACCCTCATCCACCATCCAATACCCATTCCCACCCACCCACTATCCATATCCTACAACCCACTACCCATCAGCAAGTACTCCAAGCACCTTACCTGGGGACACGCCACCACCCACTACTGACGAAGGTCTGCCTACTCCTCCTACTATAAGAGAAAGTGAAGCAACACCTTCTGCCACTTCTGCAGTTACTGATGTTCGACCAACGCTGCCCACTGTGGAAGGGGAGAGAGAGACAGATACTTCAGTACCCACTTTGACACCTTTGCCAACCCTACCACTGGTAGACATGGAAGTAGACAAGACCATGGTGACAACACCCACTGTCTATCCTCCCGGTGTAACTCCACCCACTGAGTACCCACTGATACCTGGATACGTCAAACCCACTACATCACCATACCCATCAGAAACGCCAACAGACCATCCAATGATCTTCCCCACTTCAGAAAAAACAGTATCAGACCATCCGCCTGCAACTGACAAACCATTGATTCCCCTCACTGACAGACCATTGGTTCCTGTCACTGACAAACCACTGATTCCTGCCACTGACAAACCACTGATTCCACACACTGATAGACCACTGGTTCCTGCCACTGACAGACCACTGGTTCCCGCCACTGACAAACCACTGGTTCCTGCCACTGACAAACCACTGGTTCCTGCCACTGACAAACCATTGGGTCCTGCCACTGACAGACCAATACACCCCGACTATACTGTCACTGACAAACCACTTGTTCCTGCCACTGACAAACCGCTTGTTTCTGTCACTGACAGACCACTTGTTCCTGCCACAGACAGACCACTGGTTCCTGCTACAGACAGACCACTGGTTCCTGTCACTGACAGACCACTGGTTTCTGTCACTGACAGACCATTTATTCCTGTCACTGACAGACCACTGTTTCCTGCCACAGACAGACCACTGTTCCTGTCACTGGCAGACCAATACCCCCAGACTATGCTGCACTGACAAACCACTGGTTCCTGTCACTGACAGACCAATATACCCAGACTATGCTGCACTGACAGACCACTGTCCCTGCCACTGTCGGACCAATGCACCCAGACTATGCTGCCACTGACAAACCACTGGTTCCTGCCACTGACAGACCACTGGTCCCTGCCACTGACGGACCACTGATTCCTGTCACTGACAGACCACCGTTCCTGCCACTGACAGACCACTGGTCCCTGCCACTGACGGACCACTTTTCCCTGCCACTGGCAGACCACTGGTTCCTGCCACTGACAGACCACTGGTTCCTGCCACTGACAGACCACTGGTTCCTGCCACTGACAGACCACTGGTTCCTGCCACTGACGAACCACTGGTTCCTGCCACTGACGAACCACTGGTTCCTGCCACTGACGGACCAATATTCCCAGACTATACTGCCACTGACAGACCTCTGTTCCTGCCTCTGACAGACCACTGGTTCCTGCCACTGATAGACCACGGGTTCCTGCCACTGACAGACCACTTTTTCCTGCCACTGACAGACCTCTGGTTCCTGTCACCGACAGACCACTGGTTCCTGCCACTGACAGACCACTGGTCCCTACCACTGACAGACCACTGGTTCCTGCCACTGACAGACCACCTGTTCCTGCAACAGACAGACCCCTGGTTCCTGATACTGACAGACCAGTACTCCCAGACTATACTGTCACTCACATACCACTGGTTCCTGCCACTGACAGGCCACTGGTACCTGCCACTGACAGAGCACCGGTTCCTGCAACAGACAGGCCACTGTTTCCTGTCACTGACAGACCAATACACCCAGACTATGCTGCCACTGACAAACCACTGGTTCCTGCCACTGACAGACCACTGGTCCCTGCCACTCAGGGACCACTGATTCCTGTCACTGACAGACCACTGGTTCCTGCCACTGACAAACCACTGATCCCTGCCACTGACAGACCAATACACCCAGATTATTCTGCCACTGACAGACCACAGGTCCCTGCCACTGACAGACCACTGGTCCCTGCCACTGATAGACCACTGGTTCCTGCCACTGATAGACCACTGGTTCCTTCCACTGACGGACCACTGGTTCCTGCCACTGACGGACCACTGGTTCCTGCCACGGACAGTCCACTGGTTCCTGCCACTGACAGACCAATACTCCCAGACTATACTGCCACTGACAGACCACTGGTTCCTTCCACTGACAGACCACTGGTTCCTGCCACTGACAGACCACTGGTTCCTGCCACTGACGGACCACTGGTTCCTGCCTCTGACGGACCACTGATTCCTGCCACTGACAGTCCACTGGTTCCTGCCACTGACAGACCAATACTCCCAGACTATACCGCCACTGACAGACCACTGGTTCCTGCCTCTGACAGACCACTGGTTTCTGCCACTGATAGGCCACTAGTTCCTGCCACTGACAGACCACTTTTTCCTGCCACTGACAGACCTCTGGTTCCTCTCACTGACAGACCACTGGTTCCTGCCACTGACAGACCACTGGTTCCTGCCACTGACAGACCACTGGTCCCTGCCACTGACAGACCACCGGTTCCTGCAACAGACAGACCCCTGGTTCCTGCCACTGACAGACCAGTACTCCCAGACTATACTGTCACTGACAGACCACTGGTTCCTGCCACTGACAGACCACTGGTTCCTGCCACTGACAGATCACCGGTTCCTGCAACAGACAGACCACTGGCCCCTGTCACTGACAGACCACTGGTTCCTGTCACTGACAGACCACTGGTTCCTGCCACTGACAGACCACCGTTCCTGCAACAGACAGACCACTGGTTCCTGCCACTGACAGACCACTGGTCCCTGCCACTGACGGACCACTGATTCCTGTCACCGACAGACCACTGGTTCCTGCCACTGACAAACCACTGGTCCCTGCCACTGACGGACCACTGGTTCCTGCGACTGACAGACCACTGGTTCCTGCCGCTGACAAACCACTGATCCCTGCCACTGACAGACCAATACACCCAGATTATTCTGCCACTGACAGACCACTGGTCCCTGCCACTGACAGACCACTGGTCCCTGCCACTGACAGACCACTGGTCCCTGCCACTGATAGACCACTGGTTCCTGCCACTGATAGACCACTGTTCCTGCCACTGACGGACCACTGGTTCCTGTCACTGACGGACCACTGGTTCCTGCCACGGACAGTCCACTGGTTCCTGCCACTGACAGACCATTAGTTCCTTCCACTGACAGACCACTGGTTCCTGCCACTGACAGACCACTGGTTCCTGCCACTGACGGACCACTGGTTCCTGCCTCTGACGGACCACTGGTTCCTGCCACTGACAGTCCACTGGTTCCTGCCACTGACAGACCAATACTCCCAGACTATACCGCCACTGACAGACCACTGGTTCCTGCCTCTGACAGACCACTGGTTCCTGCCACTGATAGACCACTGGTTCCTGCCACTGACAGACCACTTTTTCCTGCCACTGACAGACCTCTGGTTCCTCTCACTGACAGACCACTGGTTCCTGCCACTGACAGACCACTGATTCCTGCCACTGACAGACCACTGATTCCTGCCACTGACAGACCACTGGTCCCTGCCACTGACAGACCACCGGTTCCTGCAACAGACAGACCCCTGGTTCCTGCCACTGACAGACCAGTACTCCCAGACTATACTGTCACTGACAGACCACTGGTTCCTGCCACTGACAGACCACTGGTTCCTGCCACTGACAGATCACCGGTTCCTGCAACAGACAGACCACTGGTTCCTGTCACTGACAGACCACTGGTTCCTGTCGCTGACAGACCACTGGTTCCTGCCACAGACAGACCACTGGTTCCTGCCACTGACAGACCACTGGTCCCTGCCACTGACAAACCACTGGTTCCTGCCACTGACAGACCAATACACCCAGATTATCCTGAGACTGACAAACCACTGGTCCCTGCCACTGACAAACCACTGGTTCCTGTCACTGGCAGACCACTTGTTCCTGCCACTGACAAACCACTGGTTATTGCCACTGACAGACCGCTGGTTCCTGTCACTGACAGACCGCTGTTCCTGTCACTGACAGACCACTGGTTCCTGTCACTGACAAACCACTAACACCTACAACCCACTACCCATCAGCAAGTACTCCAAGCACCTTACCTGGGGACACGCCACCACCCACTACTGACGAAGGTCTGCCTACTCCTCCTACTATAAGAGAAAGTGAAGCAACACCTTCTGCCACTTCTGCAGTTACTGATGTTCGACCAACGCTGCCCACTGTGGAAGGGGAGAGAGAGACAGATACTTCAGTACCCACTTTGACACCTTTGCCAACCCTACCACTGGTAGACATGGAAGTAGACAAGACTATGGTGACAACACCCACTGTCTATCCTACCGGTGTAACTCCACCCACTGAGTACCCACTGATACCTGGATACGTCAAACCCACTACATCAACACCATACCCATCAGAGACGCCAACAGGCCATCCAATCATCTTCCCCACTTCAGAAAAAACAGTGTCAGACCATCCGCCTGCAACTGACAAACCATTGATTCCCCTCACTGACAGACCATTGGTTCCTGTCACTGACAAACCACTGATTCCTGCCACTGACAAACCACTGATTCCACACACTGATAGACCACTGGTTCCTGCCACTGACAGACCACTGGTTCCTGCCACTGACAAACCACTGGTTCCTGCCACTGACAAACCACTGGTTCCTGCCACTGACAAACCATTGGGTCCTGCCACTGACAGACCAATACACCCCGACTATACTGTCACTGACAAACCACTTGTTCCTGCCACTGACAAACCGCTTGTTTCTGTCACTGACAGACCACTTGTTCCTGCCACAGACAGACCACTGGTTCCTGCTACAGACAGACCACTGGTTCCTGTCACTGACAGACCACTGGTTTCTGTCACTGACAGACCATTTATTCCTGTCACTGACAGACCACTGTTTCCTGCCACAGACAGACCACTGGTTCCTGTCACTGGCAGACCAATACCCCCAGACTATGCTGCCACTGACAAACCACTGGTTCCTGTCACTGACAGACCAATATACCCAGACTATGCTGCCACTGACAGACCACTGGTCCCTGCCACTGTCGGACCAATGCACCCAGACTATGCTGCCACTGACAAACCACTGGTTCCTGCCACTGACAGACCACTGGTCCCTGCCACTGACGGACCACTGATTCCTGTCACTGACAGACCACCGGTTCCTGCCACTGACAGACCACTGGTCCCTGCCACTGACGGACCACATTTTCCCTGCCACTGGCAGACCACTGGTTCCTGCCACTGACAGACCACTGGTTCCTGCCACTGACAGACCACTGGTTCCTGCCACTGACAGACCACTGGTTCCTGCCACTGACGAACCACTGGTTCCTGCCACTGACGAACCACTGGTTCCTGCCACTGACGGACCAATATTCCCAGACTATACTGCCACTGACAGACCTCTGGTTCCTGCCTCTGACAGACCACTGGTTCCTGCCACTGATAGACCACTGGTTCCTGCCACTGACAGACCACTTTTTCCTGCCACTGACAGACCTCTGGTTCCTGTCACCGACAGACCACTGGTTCCTGCCACTGACAGACCACTGGTCCCTACCACTGACAGACCACTGGTTCCTGCCACTGACAGACCACCTGTTCCTGCAACAGACAGACCCCTGGTTCCTGATACTGACAGACCAGTACTCCCAGACTATACTGTCACTCACATACCACTGGTTCCTGCCACTGACAGGCCACTGGTTCCTGCCACTGACAGAGCACCGGTTCCTGCAACAGACAGACCACTGTTTCCTGTCACTGACAGACCAATACACCCAGACTATGCTGCCACTGACAAACCACTGGTCCCTGCCACTCAGGGACCACTGATTCCTGTCACTGACAGACCACTGGTTCCTGCCACTGACAAACCACTGATCCCTGCCACTGACAGACCAATACACCCAGATTATTCTGCCACTGACAGACCACAGGTCCCTGCCACTGACAGACCACGGGTCCCTGCCACTGACAGACCACTGGTCCCTGCCACTGATAGACCACTGGTTCCTGCCACTGATAGACCACTGGTTCCTTCCACTGACGGACCACTGGTTCCTGCCACTGACGGACCACTGGTTCCTGCCACGGACAGTCCACTGGTTCCTGCCACTGACAGACCAATACTCCCAGACTATACTGCCACTGACAGACCACTGGTTCCTTCCACTGACAGACCACTGGTTCCTGCCACTGACAGACCACTGGTTCCTGCCACTGACGGACCACTGGTTCCTGCCTCTGACGGACCACTGATTCCTGCCACTGACAGTCCACTGGTTCCTGCCACTGACAGACCAATACTCCCAGACTATACCGCCACTGACAGACCACTGGTTCCTGCCTCTGACAGACCACTGGTTTCTGCCACTGATAGGCCACTAGTTCCTGCCACTGACAGACCACTTTTTCCTGCCACTGACAGACCTCTGGTTCCTCTCACTGACAGACCACTGGTTCCTGCCACTGACAGACCACTGGTTCCTGCCACTGACAGACCACTGGTCCCTGCCACTGACAGACCACCGGTTCCTGCAACAGACAGACCCCTGGTTCCTGCCACTGACAGACCAGTACTCCCAGACTATACTGTCACTGACAGACCACTGGTTCCTGCCACTGACAGACCACTGGTTCCTGCCACTGACAGATCACCGGTTCCTGCAACAGACAGACCACTGGCCCCTGTCACTGACAGACCACTGGTTCCTGTCACTGACAGACCACTGGTTCCTGCCACTGACAGACCACCGGTTCCTGCAACAGACAGACCACTGGTTCCTGCCACTGACAGACCACTGGTCCCTGCCACTGACGGACCACTGATTCCTGTCACCGACAGACCACTGGTTCCTGCCACTGACAAACCACTGGTCCCTGCCACTGACGGACCACTGGTTCCTGCGACTGACAGACCACTGTTCCTGCCGCTGACAAACCACTGATCCCTGCCACTGACAGACCAATACACCCAGATTATTCTGCCACTGACAGACCACTGGTCCCTGCCACTGACAGACCACTGGTCCCTGCCACTGACAGACCACTGGTCCCTGCCACTGATAGACCACTGGTTCCTGCCACTGATAGACCACTGGTTCCTGCCACTGACGGACCACTGGTTCCTGTCACTGACGGACCACTGGTTCCTGCCACGGACAGTCCACTGGTTCCTGCCACTGACAGACCATTAGTTCCTTCCACTGACAGACCACTGGTTCCTGCCACTGACAGACCACTGGTTCCTGCCACTGACGGACCACTGGTTCCTGCCTCTGACGGACCACTGGTTCCTGCCACTGACAGTCCACTGGTTCCTGCCACTGACAGACCAATACTCCCAGACTATACCGCCACTGACAGACCACTGGTTCCTGCCTCTGACAGACCACTGGTTCCTGCCACTGATAGACCACTGGTTCCTGCCACTGACAGACCACTTTTTCCTGCCACTGACAGACCTCTGGTTCCTCTCACTGACAGACCACTGGTTCCTGCCACTGACAGACCACTGATTCCTGCCACTGACAGACCACTGATTCCTGCCACTGACAGACCACTGGTCCCTGCCACTGACAGACCACCGGTTCCTGCAACAGACAGACCCCTGGTTCCTGCCACTGACAGACCAGTACTCCCAGACTATACTGTCACTGACAGACCACTGGTTCCTGCCACTGACAGACCACTGGTTCCTGCCACTGACAGATCACCGGTTCCTGCAACAGACAGACCACTGGTTCCTGTCACTGACAGACCACTGGTTCCTGTCGCTGACAGACCACTGGTTCCTGCCACAGACAGACCACTGGTTCCTGCCACTGACAGACCACTGGTCCCTGCCACTGACAAACCACTGGTTCCTGCCACTGACAGACCAATACACCCAGATTATCCTGAGACTGACAAACCACTGGTCCCTGCCACTGACAAACCACTGGTTCCTGTCACTGGCAGACCACTTGTTCCTGCCACTGACAAACCACTGGTTATTGCCACTGACAGACCGCTGGTTCCTGTCACTGACAGACCGCTGGTTCCTGTCACTGACAGACCACTGGTTCCTGTCACTGACAAACCACTAACACCTACAACCCACTACCCATCAGCAAGTACTCCAAGCACCTTACCTGGGGACACGCCACCACCCACTACTGACGAAGGTCTGCCTACTCCTCCTACTATAAGAGAAAGTGAAGCAACACCTTCTGCCACTTCTGCAGTTACTGATGTTCGACCAACGCTGCCCACTGTGGAAGGGGAGAGAGAGACAGATACTTCAGTACCCACTTTGACACCTTTGCCAACCCTACCACTGGTAGACATGGAAGTAGACAAGACTATGGTGACAACACCCACTGTCTATCCTACCGGTGTAACTCCACCCACTGAGTACCCACTGATACCTGGATACGTCAAACCCACTACATCAACACCATACCCATCAGAGACGCCAACAGGCCATCCAATCATCTTCCCCACTTCAGAAAAAACAGTGTCAGACCATCCGCCTGCAACTGACAAACCATTGATTCCCCTCACTGACAGACCATTGGTTCCTGTCACTGACAAACCACTGATTCCTGCCACTGACAAACCACTGATTCCACACACTGATAGACCACTGGTTCCTGCCACTGACAGACCACTGGTTCCTGCCACTGACAAACCACTGGTTCCTGCCACTGACAAACCACTGGTTCCTGCCACTGACAAACCATTGGGTCCTGCCACTGACAGACCAATACACCCCGACTATACTGTCACTGACAAACCACTTGTTCCTGCCACTGACAAACCGCTTGTTTCTGTCACTGACAGACCACTTGTTCCTGCCACAGACAGACCACTGGTTCCTGCTACAGACAGACCACTGGTTCCTGTCACTGACAGACCACTGGTTTCTGTCACTGACAGACCATTTATTCCTGTCACTGACAGACCACTGTTTCCTGCCACAGACAGACCACTGGTTCCTGTCACTGGCAGACCAATACCCCAGACTATGCTGCCACTGACAAACCACTGGTTCCTGTCACTGACAGACCAATATACCCAGACTATGCTGCCACTGACAGACCACTGGTCCCTGCCACTGTCGGACCAATGCACCCAGACTATGCTGCCACTGACAAACCACTGGTTCCTGCCACTGACAGACCACTGGTCCCTGCCACTGACGGACCACTGATTCCTGTCACTGACAGACCACCGGTTCCTGCCACTGACAGACCACTGGTCCCTGCCACTGACGGACCACTTTTCCCTGCCACTGGCAGACCACTGGTTCCTGCCACTGACAGACCACTGGTTCCTGCCACTGACAGACCACTGGTTCCTGCCACTGACAGACCACTGGTTCCTGCCACTGACGAACCACTGGTTCCTGCCACTGACGAACCACTGGTTCCTGCCACTGACGGACCAATATTCCCAGACTATACTGCCACTGACAGACCTCTGGTTCCTGCCTCTGACAGACCACTGGTTCCTGCCACTGATAGACCACTGGTTCCTGCCACTGACAGACCACTTTTTCCTGCCACTGACAGACCTCTGGTTCCTGTCACCGACAGACCACTGGTTCCTGCCACTGACAGACCACTGGTCCCTACCACTGACAGACCACTGGTTCCTGCCACTGACAGACCACCTGTTCCTGCAACAGACAGACCCCTGGTTCCTGATACTGACAGACCAGTACTCCCAGACTATACTGTCACTCACATACCACTGGTTCCTGCCACTGACAGGCCACTGGTTCCTGCCACTGACAGAGCACCGGTTCCTGCAACAGACAGACCACTGTTTCCTGTCACTGACAGACCAATACACCCAGACTATGCTGCCACTGACAAACCACTGGTCCCTGCCACTCAGGGACCACTGATTCCTGTCACTGACAGACCACTGGTTCCTGCCACTGACAAACCACTGATCCCTGCCACTGACAGACCAATACACCCAGATTATTCTGCCACTGACAGACCACAGGTCCCTGCCACTGACAGACCACTGGTCCCTGCCACTGACAGACCACTGGTCCCTGCCACTGATAGACCACTGGTTCCTGCCACTGATAGACCACTGGTTCCTTCCACTGACGGACCACTGGTTCCTGCCACTGACGGACCACTGGTTCCTGCCACGGACAGTCCACTGGTTCCTGCCACTGACAGACCAATACTCCCAGACTATACTGCCACTGACAGACCACTGGTTCCTTCCACTGACAGACCACTGGTTCCTGCCACTGATAGACCACTGGTTCCTGCCACTGACAGACCACTTTTTCCTGCCACTGACAGACCTCTGGTTCCTCTCACTGACAGACCACTGGTTCCTGCCACTGACAGACCACTGATTCCTGCCACTGACAGACCACTGATTCCTGCCACTGACAGACCACTGGTCCCTGCAACTGACAGACCACCGGTTCCTGCAACAGACAGACCCCTGGTTCCTGCCACTGACAGACCAGTACTCCCAGACTATACTGTCACTGACAGACCACTGGTTCCTGCCACTGACAGACCACTGGTTCCTGCCACTGACAGATCACCGGTTCCTGCAACAGACAGACCACTGGTTCCTGTCACTGACAGACCACTGGTTCCTGTCGCTGACAGACCACTGGTTCCTGCCACTGACAGACCACCGGTTCCTGCAACAGACAGACCACTGGTTCCTGCCACTGACAGACCACTGGTCCCTGCCACTGACAAACCACTGGTTCCTGCCACTGACAGACCAATACACCCAGATTATCCTGAGACTGACAAACCACTGGTCCCTGCCACTGACAAACCACTGGTTCCTGTCACTGGCAGACCACTTGTTCCTGCCACTGACAAACCACTGGTTCCTGCCACTGACAGACCGCTGGTTCCTGTCACTGACAGACCGCTGGTTCCTGTCACTGACAGACCACTGGTTCCTGTCACTGACAAACCACTAACACCTACAACCCACTACCCATCAGCAAGTACTCCAAGCACCTTACCTGGGGACACGCCACCACCCACTACTGACGAAGGTCTGCCTACTCCTCCTACTATAAGAGAAAGTGAAGCAACACCTTCTGCCACTTCTGCAGTTACTGATGTTCGACCAACGCTGCCCACTGTGGAAGGGGAGAGAGAGACAGATACTTCAGTACCCACTTTGACACCTTTGCCAACCCTACCACTGGTAGACATGGAAGTAGACAAGACTATGGTGACAACACCCACTGTCTATCCTACCGGTGTAACTCCACCCACTGAGTACCCACTGATACCTGGATACGTCAAACCCACTACATCAACACCATACCCATCAGAGACGCCAACAGGCCATCCAATCATCTTCCCCACTTCAGAAAAAACAGTGTCAGACCATCCGCCTGCAACTGACAAACCATTGATTCCCCTCACTGACAGACCATTGGTTCCTGTCACTGACAAACCACTGATTCCTGCCACTGACAAACCACTGATTCCACACACTGATAGACCACTGGTTCCTGCCACTGACAGACCACTGGTTCCTGCCACTGACAAACCACTGGTTCCTGCCACTGACAAACCACTGGTTCCTGCCACTGACAAACCATTGGGTCCTGCCACTGACAGACCAATACACCCCGACTATACTGTCACTGACAAATCACTTGTTCCTGCCACTGACAAACCGCTTGTTTCTGTCACTGACAGACCACTTGTTCCTGCCACAGACAGACCACTGGTTCCTGCTACAGACAGACCACTGGTTCCTGTCACTGACAGACCACTGGTTTCTGTCACTGACAGACCATTTATTCCTGTCACTGACAGACCACTGTTTCCTGCCACAGACAGACCACTGGTTCCTGTCACTGGCAGACCAATACCCCCAGACTATGCTGCCACTGACAAACCACTGGTTCCTGTCACTGACAGACCAATATACCCAGACTATGCTGCCACTGACAGACCACTGTCCCTGACACTGTCGGACCAATGCACCCAGACTATGCTGCCACTGACAAACCACTGGTTCCTGCCACTGACAGACCACTGGTCCCTGCCACTGACGGACCACTGATTCCTGTCACTGACAGACCACCGGTTCCTGCCACTGACAGACCACTGGTCCCTGCCACTGACGGACCACTTTTCCCTGCCACTGGCAGACCACTGGTTCCTGCCACTGACAGACCACTGGTTCCTGCCACTGACAGACCACTGGTTCCTGCCACTGACAGACCACTGGTTCCTGCCACTGACGAACCACTGGTTCCTGCCACTGACGAACCACTGATTCCTGCCACTGACGGACCAATATTCCCAGACTATACTGCCACTGACAGACCTCTGGTTCCTGCCTCTGACAGACCACTGGTTCCTGCCACTGATAGACCACTGGTTCCTGCCACTGACAGACCACTTTTTCCTGCCACTGACAGACCTCTGGTTCCTGTCACCGACAGACCACTGGTTCCTGCCACTGACAGACCACTGGTCCCTACCACTGACAGACCACTGGTTCCTGCCACTGACAGACCACCTGTTCCTGCAACAGACAGACCCCTGGTTCCTGATACTGACAGACCAGTACTCCCAGACTATACTGTCACTCACATACCACTGGTTCCTGCCACTGACAGGCCACTGGTTCCTGCCACTGACAGAGCACCGGTTCCTGCAACAGACAGACCACTGTTTCCTGTCACTGACAGACCAATACACACAGACTATGCTGCCACTGACAAACCACTGGTTCCTGCCACTGACAGACCACTGGTCCCTGCCACTCAGGGACCACTGATTCCTGTCACTGACAGACCACTGGTTCCTGCCACTGACAAACCACTGATCCCTGCCACTGACAGACCAATACACCCAGATTATTCTGCCACTGACAGACCACAGGTCCCTGCCACTGACAGACCACTGGTCCCTGCCACTGACAGACCACTGGTCCCTGCCACTGATAGACCACTGGTTCCTGCCACTGATAGACCACTGGTTCCTTCCACTGACGGACCACTGGTTCCTGCCACTGACGGACCACTGGTTCCTGCCACGGACAGTCCACTGGTTCCTGCCACTGACAGACCAATACTCCCAGACTATACTGCCACTGACAGACCACTGGTTCCTTCCACTGACAGACCACTGGTTCCTGCCACTGACAGACCACTGGTTCCTGCCACTGACGGACCACTGGTTCCTGCCTCTGACGGACCACTGATTCCTGCCACTGACAGTCCACTGGTTCCTGCCACTGACAGACCAATACTCCAGACTATACCGCCACTGACAGACCACTGGTTCCTGCCTCTGACAGACCACTGGTTTCTGCCACTGATAGGCCACTAGTTCCTGCCACTGACAGACCACTTTTTCCTGCCACTGACAGACCTCTGGTTCCTCTCACTGACAGACCACTGGTTCCTGCCACTGACAGACCACTGGTTCCTGCCACTGACAGACCACTGGTCCCTGCCACTGACAGACCACCGGTTCCTGCAACAGACAGACCCCTGGTTCCTGCCACTGACAGACCAGTACTCCCAGACTATACTGTCACTGACAGACCACTGGTTCCTGCCACTGACAGACCACTGGTTCCTGCCACTGACAGATCACCGTTCCTGCAACAGACAGACCATTGGCCCCTGTCACTGACAGACCACTGGTTCCTGTCACTGACAGACCACTGGTTCCTGCCACTGACAGACCACCGGTTCCTGCAACAGACAGACCCCTGGTTCCTGCCACTGACAGACCAGTACTCCCAGACTATACTGTCACTGACAGACCACTGGTTCCTGCCACTGACAGACCACTGGTTCCTGCCACTGACAGATCACCGGTTCCTGCAACAGACAGACCACTGGCCCCTGTCACTGACAGACCACTGGTTCCTGTCACTGACAGACCACTGGTTCCTGCCACTGACAGACCACCGGTTCCTGCAACAGACAGACCACTGGTTCCTGCCACTGACAGACCACTGGTCCCTGCCACTGACGGACCACTGATTCCTGTCACCGACAGACCACTGGTTCCTGCCACTGACAAACCACTGGTCCCTGCCACTGACGGACCACTGGTTCCTGCGACTGACAGACCACTGGTTCCTGCCGCTGACAAACCACTGATCCCTGCCACTGACAGACCAATACACCCAGATTATTCTGCCACTGACAGACCACTGGTCCCTGCCACTGACAGACCACTGGTCCCTGCCACTGACAGACCACTGGTCCCTGCCACTGATAGACCACTGGTTCCTGCCACTGATAGACCACTGGTTCCTGCCACTGACGGACCACTGGTTCCTGTCACTGACGGACCACTGGTTCCTGCCACGGACAGTCCACTGGTTCCTGCCACTGACAGACCATTAGTTCCTTCCACTGACAGACCACTGGTTCCTGCCACTGACAGACCACTGGTTCCTGCCACTGACGGACCACTGGTTCCTGCCTCTGACGGACCACTGGTTCCTGCCACTGACAGTCCACTGGTTCCTGCCACTGACAGACCAATACTCCCAGACTATACCGCCACTGACAGACCACTGGTTCCTGCCTCTGACAGACCACTGGTTCCTGCCACTGATAGACCACTGGTTCCTGCCACTGACAGACCACTTTTTCCTGCCACTGACAGACCTCTGGTTCCTCTCACTGACAGACCACTGGTTCCTGCCACTGACAGACCACTGATTCCTGCCACTGACAGACCACTGATTCCTGCCACTGACAGACCACTGGTCCCTGCCACTGACAGACCACCGGTTCCTGCAACAGACAGACCCCTGGTTCCTGCCACTGACAGACCAGTACTCCCAGACTATACTGTCACTGACAGACCACTGGTTCCTGCCACTGACAGACCACTGGTTCCTGCCACTGACAGATCACCGGTTCCTGCAACAGACAGACCACTGGTTCCTGTCACTGACAGACCACTGGTTCCTGTCGCTGACAGACCACTGGTTCCTGCCACTGACAGACCACCGGTTCCTGCAACAGACAGACCACTGGTTCCTGCCACTGACAGACCACTGGTCCCTGCCACTGACGGACCACTGATTCCTGTCACTGACAGACCATTGGTTCCTGCCACTGACAAACCACTGGTCCCTGCCACTGACGGACCACTGGTTCCTGCGACTGACAGACCACTGGTTCCTGCCACTGACAAACCACTGATCCCTGCCACTGACAGACCAATACACCCAGATTATTCTGCCACTGACAAACCACTGGTTCCTGCCACTGACAGACCACTTGTCCCTGCCACTGTCGGACCAATACACCC